GTAGTTCCTCTTATTTGCTCTATTCGGCCTTTCCACGCCCAGTTATCGATATTTACACTTAAAAATCAAGTTGTGTCATATATATATACGCCCAAGAACACTTTCCAGTTATGCCTAATATATTACTTACACCACAGAAACAGCCATTCCACAGCCTAAGGTACATGCCCAGTTCACGGGTCCACATTCCACACGGATCCACATTTCAGTGACGTAGAGCTAGTACTAACATTGGTACCTGAGTACATATTTTTTCGTACTCTTGTTTGTACTCGTAGTAATGGCAAAGTTCTCATATGAAAAAGTTCTCCAGCTGAAATTGAACAAAAATTCAAGAGATATATATACATGCAGCAAATTGTCTACTGTTTGCGAGGCTTTTGCATTTGTTAAGTGCACCTATTTAAATGTGCTCGTCCTCATCGAAAGTACTTGAATTTGTACATCGTACGCCTGAAAAGGTACATTCGTAGTCGTACTCGTGGAAAGAATGCCTTGTACCCATACTCGTAAACTCATGACACACTCGTACTAATGTCAACATATACATGCGAGTACCTTGCAGGCATGCAAGGTACTCGTACTCGTGCTCATGTCAACTCATACTCGTACTCATGGCAAGGTACTGGTACTACTCGTACTCGTACTCATACTCGTACTCATGGCTAGGTACTCGTACGCATGGCTAGGTACTCGTACTCGTACGCATGGCTAGGTACTCGTACTCGTACGCATGGCTAGGTACTCGTACTCGTACGCATGGCTAGGTACTCGTACTCGTACCCGTGGCAAGGTACTCATCAGACTGTTACTCGTACTCATGGTCAAGTACTTGTAGTTAGTACTTGTTTACAGTATTTGTAGTTGGTACTCGTGGAAATGTACTCGACTAAAACACTGCCTCATTCAAACATGCTTATACTTACACATTTCCCGCTTAACTGCTTTGAATTGCACGCCCCTCACAAATCACAATCTTCCCACTCACAAACCACGCCAATTCCCAGACACTCTCTCATTCTCACACCCTCCATACATTATATCTTTTCCAGTCGTGGCAGTTACTTCACTATTTTCGCGTTCCAAAAATAGTTTTTCCTTTTGATCTAGGGCCTATGCGTTGGAAGGTTAATAATACAGTAATACATTAAGTAATACGCTAATATATGAATCTACTAATGTTTGTGCAGTGTTTCTTTGAAAAGCTGGTGCATAATCTAACCCATTATCATTGTTGTAATTTCTAAAAGCATAAATTGCCCTTTTGAATTACGTACGAATTGAATTATTCTCGAATTATGCCAGAGTATATTTATCAAATCATTTAAAATGCCATGATATCAGAAACATACTGTGGTCTTCCATCATTCTTTCGTTTGCATTTCATGTTGATTGGTGGCCAATTGCCCCAGCATGCCAATTTCGGTTTCTTTTATGCTTGATAGATCTTTGGCTACTTACCAAAACGATACATTTAATGTAACTATCTGGCTGTCTGATTACGGTCAAATCTGTAGGCTTTCCGCCCGTAAGAATAGCCAACTTCGTACTGTAAAATCAAACATTGACATGTCGTTGACTCTAGATCTGTTTTTCCAGATCGACTCTGTGACAGACGCGGTTCTAGAGCCAATATTTTTTTTTGGGGGGGGGGGGGGCTAAGGTGGATCCAGATTTTTTCAGGGAGGCGTTCTTAAATGTAGACAGGTTATTTTCTCCGGACACTTAAGCCTCTGAAAATCAATGCAATACGTGCCATATTTTCAATGGGGAGCGCTGATAAAATCCTACAATCAGGCACACTATATTAACTAAAAGTGTACAAATGCAGTTTAATGCACCCTTCTCATTTTAGGGGGAGACCGTTCCCATGTATGTTAAATTCTTACATTTTGCTTGTTCAGTTTTTTTTATGGATTTTTTTTTGGGGGGGGGGGGGGGGGGGCTAGACAAAAAATTGGGGGGCCTAAATCCCCCGCTTGCCCCCCCCCCCCCGTAGAACCGTTACTGCTCTGTGACCTCTGGGTGACCTTTGTGGCAATTGCTCAGGTGATGATCCAACTCAATCATATCCCCATACTGACCAAAAGGATAAAATCGGTGAGGATACATGCCTCGAATAATCGGCCAACTTGTACATGTGCGTACACTTGTACTACTAACGTGTAATTAGTTTACTGTAGGGAATGAACTCTATTATACTCACACCACAATGCACAATATACATGTACACATTTGGACGAGAATCACAATATAAACCGGTGATTATATATTCAGGAAAGCATGTGCACTTGTACCACACGTTCTGTTACTGGTGAGAAACAATAAAAACAGTCTCATAGGTAGACCACGATTATTCGCACTTAGCGAGTGACTGAGGGCCGAGTAAAATAATAGAGTAAAAAAAGTTTGTAAATTGCAAGTATTCAGACCTTTTTGGGATAACAAACACAGCCGCAGCTAAAACAAGTCCTCTCAAAAGTTTCCTCGCGTAAAATGGCGACTGAAACATGAGACTACGAGTAGGCTACAATTCAAGGCTATTGGGTGGCCTGTTGACGTCACGTCGTTCCCATTGTGGTATTGGCTGAACGGCCAGGGCAGTGGGTACAACTATTCTGCATGCAGGGGGAGAAACAAAACAAATAAAAACCGAGGCTGGACTAAAGGCTATAGTAACTGCTGTCGGGCGAGAGCAACTACACACTACAACATTAAGCGATATGATATGATGAATTAAACTAACAAAGCTGCTGATTAGCAAGGCGAGATAAGAGGGGCAGAATTGGCTAATTCTAGCTGAAGTTGGGAACAACCGTGAGTAAGCATTGCATTCTCGTGTGATCGACATAGAAGGCTCAAATTCCATCTGTCAACTTTTTTTTATGGCACATTGCTTGGTTGAACAGCTGATATACAAAAGTGGTACTGATACGTGGATCTACTAGGGGCCCGAAAATGCAGCCCTGAATTATTGTTAGTTTTTTGCGTCCATTCCCCCTCTTTCTATGCTACTAGCCAATGCAATATTCTCAGGTGTTTTTTTTTTTACATTAAAACACCCTACCGATAGACAAAGTGATGAATTATCACAAATAATTAATTTTGTGCCAACGACTGTTGCAAAAAATGTCCCACAAATAAATGAACGTGGACTTGCTTTTGATTATATTGGGAGTTGGGTATGAGCCACACACAAGATCCTCAAAGTCCCGGGCAGATTTGACCCATACATTTCCGGGTCAAAATGACACCTTTTCGAGTCAAAATGACAACTGTTCGGGTCAAAATGACATCTTTCCGGGTCAAAATGACATCTGTCAGGGTCAAAATGACACATTTCAAGGTCAACATTACACAATTTGTCTTCAAAATGACAATTTCCGGGTCAAAATGACTCCTTTGCAGGTCAAAATTACACCATTGCGGATCGAATGACACCTTTCCGGGTCAAAATTACACCTCTCGGTGTCAAAATTACACGTTTCCGAGTAAATACAAAAAAAAAATTCTCTGGATCATTTTCTGGGTCAGTTTGACCCAGACAAGTGTCATTTTGACCCTGTGAAGTTTGACCCTGTCATTTTGACCCTTTGAATCCGGGTCAAAGTAACCCGGAATATCAGGTTAAATCTGATCCGGGACCCTTCAGAGCGCACGTTATTGTGACATTAATGGGGAGACAGCCACCACGTAAGACAACCACATCAGCCTTTGACTACAGTTATAAGTTCAAGGCACTATATTTTTTTTTAAATTGAGCTTCGCACAGTGACTTGATGGATGATTACCATGCTCATATTATTGACAAGCAATTAAAAAAATTTGTTCCAGCGCAACGGCAGCGGTGCCATTAAAATGCAATATTGGAGATTATTTTCCGTCGGTAAATATTTGAGGACGTGCGATCGCCTACGCCAAATCGAAGGACGTTTTTTGCTGTGAGCTGAGGCGAATCCCACGAAGTCTATTTTTTAAAGGGAGGATAACAAAAGTATACCTCGTTAAAATTAGCTCTGACAACAACTCAGAATCACCATGTTCCGTGTACTCCGAGAATAAGTCAATGTTTGATTTTTGGAGTAATCGTGAATCTGGGCTACGAGTCGATAAAGTATCCGTATATTGGCTTAATACTCAAGTGCCGACAAATATAGTTGTCAAACAAAAAAGTGCCACATGGGTGAGAAACGAGGGGAGAGAGTACTTTGCAACATGCCATGGAAAAAGGAAAAGTTGATGACTCGTTTTGCATGTATGGGCATCTTTTCTTTTTTGTATTTTGATATAAAGTTTCAGCCATGTGGAATAGTGTGGCCTAGTGGTTAGGGTTTATGACTCGCGATCAGAGGGTCAGGGGTTCGAATCCAGCCGCTTGCCATATGTGTGTCCTTGGGCAATCTAATTTACCCCAATTGCCCCTCTCCACCCAGGAGTTAAAATGGGTACCGGCATTAGCTGGGGAGCAACTTGCGATGGCCTGGCATCCCATCCACGGGGAATAGAAATATTCTCAGTTGTGTCATGCCTAGGAACTTACCGGAGGTAAATGCCGGCCTGATGGGCCATATTGGCACGTGACAGACTTTATTTACTTTAGCCGTGAATCCTCCAATTTTGAAATATACAGTGTATGTATTTTTCCCACACCAAATAGGGAGTTAAGAGATATAGATACACGTGTTTTCATCACTTACTATATCCAGATTAAAAAGACATTTAGAAGCATGTGAACAACCTGCTGACTATCTTTAACTAATTTGTGTGAGTCTTAACCAAAGTGTTGTTCGACTGATCGTATCTACAAGTGGTTGAGGTGACTGCAAACGGTGGTCAACACGAATAAGGATACACAGACATGCATGCAAACTAGCCATCGAACTGGGTATAAAGCAAGCTTGGGAATCGGGAAATGCCCCAAATACTTAAGAAGAAAGTAAAATAGCAAACCAGGTTTTTTTTCAAATGAGTGTCAGGCGGAAACGAACGAAAGCAGTGAGACCTTCATCACACTTTCATCTTAGTCTGGCTCCCATCCAAAAGCATTTCAGCGTATGGTATCGTCGTTAGACTTGGATTTTCTGGCAGCCATGAGCTGTATAGAAAATCTCATACAGTTTTGGTCCGTACACATTTGGACTCATAATCATATATCGCCGTATGTGCTCTCTTTTACACGATAATGTACTCAATATTAACAGGAAAAGTGCTCGATGTTCGATTTTGAATTAGTCGCCAATTTTAAGGACTAAAAACATTTATAGTTCGTGTGTGAGCAGTCCAAATGCTGTGGAAAGTTAGGGCTTCTCACATACATGACATAAGCGTGATGAAGGTCTGAATTACAGCGGGAATGGTCAAGCAGCGGCTAAGGCTAGCCATGGTAGTCAGTCGTGCGGCCATGGACTCTCAGACTGGACGTGGAAGTGAAAGAGCGAGTGGATATGGACCTCTTGCTGCGAGACCGCCGAGCGTCCTCGCAGCGGATGACCGACCGGAACGCCGCCCGGAACTTGGTAGAGATGAGGTTGTACAGGATGGGGTTGATGGCTGAGTTGATGTAGATCAGTACGCGGAAGCCGGCCAGCATGACCACGAAGGTGTGTTGGTTGGCCACCAACCAGGAGTAGACGGACTCGCGCGGCGCGAAGATCTGCCAGAGCATGAGGATGCGCATGGGAAACCAGCACACAAAGAAGACGACCACCACACTAGCCAGCATGAGCACCACGCGGCGGTGGGACTGCCGCGTGGCCGCGTTGGCCATGCTCTGACACGCACTGTTCGAGCTGGCCTGCTGCTGGCCACCAGAGGCCCCTGACCGGAGAGCCGTGTAGTGATTGGCCTCCCCGTCCACCGTGGCCACCGTGAGTGGCTCCTCGCTCTGGCTGCTCGTGACGTGATTGGTCGCCGGTGCCGCATGGTTGTTGGTCTCCATCAGGTACTCCACGCTGTTCCTGCGTGGCATGGAGGCCAGTTCCACCAGCCGTCCGGCGTCACGCGACGACGCCAAGTCACCAGACGGCGGCGCCAGAGACTCCTTCTTCCGGATGGCAGCCATGTAGTTGTCGTGCATTCGCAGCGTGTTCGCGATAATGCAGTAGATGACGGTCATGAAGCCGAAAGGGAGCAGGAAGAAGAGGCAGAAGATGCCCCCGATGTAGGCTTCCTGGAGCTTGGTGTTAGCGTATGCCTCGCAATAGCCCTTCTGTTCCCCAGTGTCCAGGTCAATGCACGACCTATAACCGGTCAGCAGGACAACCGGGATGCTGCTGATGAAGGCAATGAGCCAGACCAGACAGCAGATGATGAGGGTCCGCTTAGAGGTGCAAGTGTAGTTAGCCTTGAAGGGCATACAGATGACGTAGTAGCGCTCGACGGATATGGCTAGTAGGGTCAGGATGGAGGCGTGAGCAGTGGCACTGTCCAGCACGCTCACTAAATAACCTGAGGAAGAGAAAAACACACACAGGAAAGGCCATCAGCAAATGTTTGAAAATATGAAATTGACCTTTTCTATCCCTCCACGATTAGGCGATCTTCCTTTGCTGAATGTTATCGTTGATGGCTCGGTTTTTGTCAACAAATCTACCCTTGTCTATACCTCCGAACTCCTGTGAAATCTTTGAAAAGGCTCATGAATATGTCTTCTTTTTTTTAAAGGTTTTTATTGTAACTTTTTTTTGAGAGGCTCGTAACTAGTAGAAACACTTTACGTTGACGGATCCATTACTAACTGTGCCAGTAATTCCAAGTACAACTACACCATTACCTACGAACATTGCCAATTTGTGTTGTGCTGTTCTGTATATACTATCGAAAATTATACCAATTTGGAGACACTTTGGCGTCAAAGTTATACCTTTGGGAGACATTGTGCAATAAGGGAGACTGTTCAATGTCTCCCTAATGCCTCAGCTTCTATTTAGAGGCAACATTTTACCGTCGGAAATAGGCTAGATCGATTGCTTGTGGTTCATTAAGCAAAATAACCAAAACTCGTGGGGGTAGGATAAGGTAAAACTGGGTTAAGGGGTCAGGAAAGTCGGAAATTTGTTTTTGCACAAGTCTATGGGAATCTCTCCCTCAATGGTATTTTTTACGGTTATTATATTACATGTATTTACTATAGACTGATTCATAAGTACTAAATCTCACAACCGACAAATTCCCCGCTTTTTCTCAACCAGTCTTCTGCTTCCATGTCCTAAACAACACACTTTTTACAGTACACAAAGAACGATTTCAATGAAAAGGTGCTCTGATATTAACCCACATAGGAAAATAACAATTTTTGAAAAGCACATAAGTGAATTGAATGATTCTTGTACAAAATACAGCTTATGAATTGGGCTTTTATATCCTAGATTTTTTTACTCAACCTGTACAATGTTCGATTATCGTAAGTGTGATTTGACTTTTGCTTGAGACTACATCTTGGGGAAATATATCTGAGTTCTTTCGTGACAGGAGTATGTGCTTTCATCTTTCATCGGTTGTTGGTTGAGGCCTCCAGAAAGATGGAGACTGTCACAAATAGCCCTAGTGTACTTGATACAATAAAAGGAATTTTTTTGTATTGCGGTTTGGTATTATGGGCCCTGTTACAACTGATATTGTAATAACCAGCGGGCTACGTATCACCAACCGATAATGTAACAACAATTGACTGATACTGTATCACCAACCGATAATGTAACAAAAAAATGACCGACAATGTAGTAACTGTTACTACATTGTCTGTCAATTTTTGTTACATTATCGGTTAGGACTGATAATGTAACAACAATTGACTGATAGTGTAGCACATTCTACTACATTATCGGTCAACGTTTTGTAACATTATCGGTTAGTGATACAGTATCGATCAATTGTTGTTACATACATTATCAGTTGGTGATACGTTTTGGTTATTACATTATCAGTTGTAACGGGCCCTATAAATCTGAAAACTGGTTGCCGTGTGTCCGTGTTTTTTTTAATGTCTTATATTTTCATAGCATTAATTTTTATGGACTATGATGTAATGCTTCGTATCGATTTTTTTCTTTTTAAGTTTAGCAAAATGCTATTGTAGTTTCGACCCAATTGTGGTGAACCAATTGGGCTGACCGCTCAACGACCTTAAGGCAAGATTTGACAAGAAAAGACAGCAAGAAGAGAATCTTGGAGGCAACAAGAGAGACCCAAATGCATCAGTCAGATTGATCGAGAACACCCAGCTTCTCATTTGGGTGTTATTAGTATTCGGAGACCCCGCATCGCCCGCCCGCACTGCATGCATGATGGAAATGCAATCTGATTCCTCCTCGAATGTCGGGAAGGAGAAAAAAAAAGCAGGGCAGGATCGAATCGGTCTGACACATTATTATGGACACCAACCGATAGATGTTAGCTCAACTATGGCATTTTACCGGGGGGACTGCCCTCTGGAGACGAGAAAACATCCAGGGAGCACTTGCTCCCCCTCCCTTTTCTATCCCCTCAGTGCCAGAACGAAGGATCGGTTTCAGGTCGGCATTATTATAGGCCGCTGCTCTGAATCGATACGCCCCGGGTGCTGTAATGAATGTTACCGGGAAAGCTGAGTAAAGCTAATCTGGCTAAAAATGCCCGAGCGGTGCCTGGACTTGGCCTGGTCGCCCGGGCTCCGGACGACCCGTGTGGGACGCCCCTGTACCTGCCCGGAGCGCAATCGATGTCGGAACGGCGTGTATGGACCGAGCGAGACGCGGCCCAAGCCTCTGTACCGTGGATCGCTTCGAATTGACCCGGGTCTATCGACAGGCGCAGCTGGTGAAGGAGTTCTCCCCCTCCTCCGCATGTTAATGGACAAAATTAGCTCATTTGTGTAACGATTGACACACAAGTATCAGTGTAAATTATTATGGGCAGACGCGGTATCGGGTTTGTGTTGAAAGAGGTCCCACTGCTCCTCGGCTGCAGAGTTTCAAAAGGTTCTCCGGAGACTAGATTTGGCAGGAATTTCAGCGTGCTGAACTAAAACTTGAGTTTACTCATTGCAATGTATCAGAATTGTACATCTGGGTGTGGTCAAGTAACCGCCCCTTTATATTCGATTCATACTATAAGTAGGCCTAAGCAGTGAAAGTATCATAAATATACCAGTCACGGTATAGCCAATTAAGCTGAAAGATGGAAACATATTATAACTACATTAAAGATGAATTCATGTGTTAGGTTTTTGTTGAAAACATGAAATTGCAGGATGGTCCAAACTTGTGATCATCTCCCGCCCCTATTATTCTGAACACGCAAGGACAACAACAACTGTGCCGAAGTACGTCAGTGGTAGTACTGAAAAGAACACCGCTCAAACTATTCTGAAATTGGAATATGTTACGTTAATCACGTTGCCATGCAGGAATGGTTTAATCCACCTGTTTCAAGTTCTCTCTTTTAAAGGCAAATCCAGAAGACACTAGTAGCGGATCTAGAGTGGTTGGGGGTTGCACCCTCCTCCCCCGTTAAGCCTCTGACTAATGTAATGATACTTGTAAAATGGGGCCCAAAATAATAAAATGGAACGCTAAAGTTCCTAAAGTTATTCTCGAATTGCCTTAGAATGCAGCATCGTAGGTTTCAAATGTTTCCGGGGGCATGCCCCCGGCGGACCCTCCATAGCAGAGCGTGCCTTTGGCACGCCTTAGTCACCCTCCCTTTTTATATATCACCCGCCCCTTTCTTGAAAGCTAGACCCGCCCCTGGAACAGTAACACTTAGTGTCAAATGGTGTATAAACTCTACCCTCCCTCTTTAAATTTGCTGGATGTTTGTATCATGACTCGCTCCTACACCCATTCGTCGGAGCAAATTTACATTATTGAATTGCATTAACTAAGTTTTCAACATCGGTCCATTCAATGAGCCAGTATAAAGTCATTGCTTTAGAGTGCGGTTTTTCTTTTTTCTCAAGAACCAAAAAATCAATTATGTTTATACATTTTTATCCAAAACGCATAAAGGTTTACCCCCCCCCCCACTTCCATCGAATAACCGTACAGCGAGGAGAAAACCTGCTCGACGTCTATACATTCTGGCACCTGAAAGTCCCAGCTTCCAGAAGACAGCTGTAGAACCCATCGGCCAGGAGAATCAAGTTCCTGCTCAATAACCATGGGAATCGCTCCCGGGTTGTGGAAACATTATATCAGGCTTGGGCAGACTAGCTTAGGGATGTTCCCCTTTATTCCTATCCATTCTGTGTATTTTATCGGACGAAGGGTATCGATTCTCGCGCCTGGAGAGGTGCTTCACCCCCACCCTCCCCCGCGCTGAGTTTTATGCACAGGCTGTGGTTCGACCCGATTGCCAATTTGGCTGTGCCTTTTTTCTTCCTTCTAGATGCTTCGTTCCCTGGGGGCGTCTGCTCTTCCCTATTCAAGACCCTTTCCCCCCCCCCCCCAAAAAAAAAAACCATGCCTAAAATCAAAGCCACAGCTTTGCATTCTGCCACAATCTCGAGGGGGTCCCCTAGAACGCTGTCTTGGGGAGATACCATTGTATCAGGCTTCGTTGTTGGCTTTTCCCCCAAAGGGATGGGGGATCAGAGAGAAGTGGCGAACACGTATAGTCCGATCCGTTTTTACATTATCTCCAGACTTCGGCTTTGCGAAATGAAAACTGCGCTGGCCTGAATCGCTTAACCTTTCAGACTCTAACTTGCTTGAAAGGTTACATTTCGATAAACAAGCGTTTATTACAAAGTCCACCGTTCTTACCATATTAGATTGTAATCGAAATCGATAGGGAATTGTGAATGAATATTCAATTCCGCCCACTCATGTGACAACATGACGCATTTTATCAAAACGTCGACGTCACTTTTTTTTCGTTCCCCCTCCCCCGATAAATTATGTACATTAAGAAACATTGGTCGAGTTTGTTTTACCTCTTCTGTAGCCTTATTAAAGCTCACTCATTATGCACGTCGTTCACTTTCACGATTGTTATCCCCGAGTAAAAGCATGCATTGGCATACCTCACGTCCGGATCCCAAATTGATACGATTTCAGATACGTTTAATCGCTGACTATTTTTGAAAGGCTTCGTTCTGTGAGACAATGATGTTTTACTGTCAACTCTAATTATAGATACATATGCATTTGGCAATACAGATATTCTGCTGCAAATTCTCTGTGACTTTGAGCCTGAGGTTTGATTCAGTAAACACAAAGGAGAAAATCCCACTGGCAAGATGTACAGTGGACAAAACAAGGCACGAGAAATGCAAAACAACGCAAGATAAAGTATCGATTGATGCGCCCAAAGTGGTGCCCGGTTCACTTAGCGAGTAGTGACGAACTTCCTTCAGAGGCAGAGAGCATAGAGATGGACCGGAATCGATCACCGACAAAGGCAAGAGAAAAAAGTAGCATCTTAATAATCGATCCCTTGGCAATTTATCATGGGTTTGTCGTGAACGG